AAATACGATTTCATAGTTATAGGTGCTGGCTCGGCAGGCTCGGTTGTAGCCAGTCGTTTGAGCGAGAATGTCAAGTGGAAAGTGCTGGTGTTGGAGGCGGGCGATGACCCACCACAGGAGTCAGAGGTGCTGCAAGTTTCATATTTCACTTATCTTAACTACATCTAAACTTTTTTCAGATTCCCGGCTTGCAGGGTCATTTGCAGCGCACTCGTTACTCTTGGGATTACTACGCGGACCCACAACCACACATTTGTCAAGGGTTTAGGCGCCGATTGTGCTACAACCCGCGCGGTAAGCTCATAGGCGGCACAGGCGCAATAAATGGTCTGGTATACGTGAAGGGGCATCGCCAGGATTTCGACGACTGGCTGGCAGCGGGCAATACACAGTGGGGCTGGGCTGATGTGAAGCGATTTTATGAGCGCGCTGTGCGCCCTGTGGGCAATACCACGCATCCCATGGGCTATGTGGTAATCGACGCAAATAAAGATGTAGGCAATGTGCTGCTGAACAACGCCATTTTCAATGCTACTGCAGAATTGGGCGTGCCCTCCAAGTCGGAGTTCGAGGACGGCGTAGAAATAGGCACTGCATTCGAGCCAATGATTAATAGCAATGGTAGACGCACGGCTACTGGGAAGACATATTTGGCCAAGGTTTCGAGGCGACCGAATCTGCATGTGATCAAAAATGCGCACGTGCACAAAATCCACTTCGATAGTAGCGGCAAGCGGGCCACCATGGTAACATTTTCGTTGCGCGAACGTTATGAGTTGAGTGCTGAGGTGCGCAAGGAGGTGGTGCTCTCGGCAGGCACCATAGATTCGCCCAAGTTGCTGATGTTATCGGGCGTGGGACCGCGCAAGCATCTTGAAAAGCTGGACATACCGGTGGTGCACGACCTGCCAGTTGGTTCAAATCTACGCGATCACATAGCCCTAAGGGTTCAGTTTAAATTGGAAAACACATCTTTCGACGCGTTTGAGCAGACGAGGCACATCGATTTATTATACCAATTCCTGACTCGCAACAACAGTCAGTTTGGTAACGGATCCAATAGTATCACCACCTTCGTAAACACCAAAGGTGATAGCGATTTACCAGATATGCAATATCACTACACACTACACCAACAAGGCGATGTTGAGTCCATCAGAGTCAATTTTGCAGGACGTGGCGAGAAGTACACAGCGCGCTTAATTCGGCAATTAAGGAAGTCACATTTGATCACCTTTTTATTGTTGTCGACCAAGCCTCGCTCCGTAGGCAAAATACGTCTGCGCAGTTCCGATTACCTTGATCATCCACGCATCTTTTCGAATTATTTTAGTGATCCCGAAGACTTGGCGACTATGTTGCGCGGTATACGCTTCATCGAACGCTTAGAGCGCACAAAGGCTATGCGGGAACTAAATGCAACCCTGTTGCGTATACCACTCGGGGAGTGCGATAAGTACAAGTACCGTTCGGAAGCCTACTGGCGTTGCTACGTTAAATACTTCGGAGAGGCGGGTTATCACCAGACCGGCACGGTAAAAATGGGCCCCAGTAGCGATCAGGGAGCATGTGTGGATCCACGCTTACGACTTTATGGTGTGGATAACTTACGAGTGGCCGATGCCAGCATAATGCCCGATGTGCCACACGGAAATACGAACGCACCGACGATTATGATTGGCGAAAGAGGGGCGGACTTTATAAAACAGGATTGGAAAGAGGATGGCCAAGGGGCGAATGAGTCAAAGTGACGTAGTTTAAATGCATTATAAGTCGAACACTTTCTTTTACAATCACTTTTTTTTTAACTAATCCTCCTCCGAAAATAAATGCATAAATTTCTTTTCATTGGGGCCTTTCTCTGCACTGCTGCGTCAATCTAGTCAACTGAAACTAGTACAGGGCTTTGGGGGAAGTTAACCACCGTTCTCTGTAGGCTAGGGTATGCCTTATGAGCAAGAAAGATTTCCGCTAAGAAGCTACTGCTGAAATCACCCCTTTGGGAATGGAAGCACAAGTCACGACATTTTTTCACCACAGGGAAAATATTCAGGAAACCACATAGAACGAATTGACCCAGCTTCGAACAGGTGGACCATAAACGCGATATACTTGCAGATGATTACTATCTAAATGAACTTTTGCTTTACAATCGCTACAGGTTCAAAGAAAAAGTTAGGATCGAGCGAAGTTTTGATCTTACATCTGCACATTTTTTGTAGGCAAGGATCCCTTCTGAAATAATTAGCGCTAAAGGAACGACATTTACGGAGCCTTAAGGCCCACGAAAAACTATAGTAAGGTCCCTACGACTTCACTGTCCTCACTCACTTTCATTTCCTTAGAGCAGGTCAATTCCTCACAATTCCTGAACCAGACCAGCAATGCTTATTCCTCACAAATCGTTGGGAACGAATAAAGGTTCTCCATCGTGAATTCAGTCGCTGATGCATGTAGGTTTATCTCAAAGCTTAACGCTGAGTGTACTTTTTATGGAGATCCTCCTATGCAAAAAAAATACTGAAAGTCCATTCTGCCTTCGCAGCGGATTTTCTAAAAAAAATTAAAATTTTTTGAATTGAGCCGCTCTCCGAAATCGAGTATGTTTTCGTGAAGCAAAATAATTTTTTGGGGAATTTAAATCTGCGATCTCCACTTTACGGACACGGTCTACTCCCAGCCATGTTTTAAGACCCTGAACTTTTTAGAAGCCTTTTGCAGCTCAAGGAAATACCTTTAATATTTAATTAACAAATTCGATATATTTTTTTCATACGCGAAAATTTACTTATAATATTTAAATAAAAAGTAAAATATCCTCATTGAACAAGCTCAGCAATCGAATGTTTCACAACAGGCGGGGTAGGGCTTCGAGTCGTCTTGTGGAATCTTTTTGCAATAATTAGGAGCAACTACATAGGGACAGCTAAAATAAATAAAAAAAAAGATTTTTTAGAATAAAAAAGCACCGTGGAGCGCCAACCAGCCTACGTCTTGGCAGTAATGCTGCCATCTTCGTGGCATTTGTACAAATTGCATTCGCCTTTTATTTGAAACTCCGCGCCGCTCTTCGCCAGCTGGCCACCATATTCGCAATCTTGCGAAAGAAATGAATTAGAAAACGTTTTAATAAAAATTATTTCCTTCGCACTAACCGGCCTTTGCGCTCCCCAGTGATGCCACAAACACCACCAACAACAGCGATCCAAAGACTCCAACACACTTCATAGCACGCGTTTACGGTGTTCTCGAAAGCGTAAAAAACTATCTCTACTCGACAAAGTTCAAACAGTGACTGTGGTTCGGAAATTCAATAGCAAAGCTTTAATAACATAAGATTTGGTTTGCTATTTGCTATTTGTTTTCAATTTATTTACGCTATTTATTCTAATCGTTTTTCATTTACTTTTCAACAACTACTTGGCACGATCGCGGCCGCTTCGGTCACTTCGGTCAAGTTCAAAGTAGATAGTCGGCTAATTTGACAATATTCGTGGCGATGATGCGCATTTGTGCGCTTAAAAGTGGGGACAGTTGGGCTTTCCCTAGCGTTAGAAACTGGTTCTGGTGGGGAAGCGGGTGATTTACGAAAATATTTTTGAATCTACTGGCCGAGCTCAGTGGGACTTTCCTGCGCTTTTATTATGTTTGTTGTTGTTGTGCTCGAAGCCAACAAATGGACAAGAATATTTAAAATTAATGAAAATTAGAAAAAAAAAAATACTTTTGTTTATTGACTTCTATAAATTATTTCTTATACATATATGATATTTATGTATATCTATCTTCATGAAATTTAATCAATACATTTAATTTGAACACAGCAATTAGGATAAGGCCGGCTATAGTCGGGTGGCTGCTCGGTGCAACCGTGTCGCAGCAGATAACGGTCACAGCTGTAAGTGTAGATAAAATGGACGAGAAGTTATGAAATTTAAAGAACATATATTAGAACATATATAGAATTTGTTTGAAAGTGATCATAAAAAATTAATTGGAGCTACATAGTTTTTTTGTTGAAAATTTACATATTTCTTGCTCGAATTGGTTTAGTCAGAACTGATATTTATAAAATTTTGTTTGACTTGACTTGAAGTTTATTGAAAATTAATTGGAATTACTATCCACAAAAAAATATTAATTTAAATACAAAAATTAATTTAGTTACATACAACAACAATAAACAATTTGGACTTTTTAACCGCTTTTTTATTAACTTCGCGTTTAAATTAGCGCAAAACTTGTTTAGAATCAGTTATTAAAAAAATGTATTTAATTTCTCGTAAAAAACGTTGGAAAAACTCAGTTAAAATTAAGTTTAAAATCTTTTGCCTTCAAACATTTTTTTTTGAGCCAAATTTATTTAATATAGAAGGTCCGATTGAATTTTATTTTTTTTAAATATACAGAAAATTAAAAAAAATCTATGGCTCCAAATTGTGCATAAAATTTATTCACAGCTAATTACCAAAAAGTGGCTTTCGCTTCAGAATTTATTAAAAAATTGTATCGAACTTAAAATTTAATTGAAAATTTTCTTTTTCAATTACACTTACTGCTTTATTATCAGCACGTAATCATGCCGGCAAGTGACCGTTATGCAGTGAAATTTAATATCTGTGGGATAGAGGGTCTCATTGACTGGTACTGCTAGCTCCAATTCCTCATAGTAACAGTGGGCTGGAAGAACTAAATTAGCGGGCAAAATTTTAAATAAGGAAAGAGATATTTTTCAAAAAAGATGAGGAAGGTGCAAAGATAACATGAAATTTGACTATGAATAAATAAATAAAAATGAAAATAAAAAATTATTTATAAAAAAATTTTAAATTCGGGTTTTTTTTTAAATTCTAGCTTAAATTGGTATTAAAAAGGCATCCCTCAAAAATGGAGATATGTATCTACATTGAATTGGTAGCGAATTCGCAGATCGCAACCATTTACAATGTGTTTTGGGCCCGAATGCTACTTTTTTTGTTCTAAAAAATTTTCACTTAAACCAATTTGGGCCATATTTTGAGAGAAAGTAATGCGCTGATTGAGTGTTTTTGAAATATTTTAAACAAAAATTGGAGGTTTCAAGCAAAAAATTCCCAATCCGTTTTGTTTTTTTGCAGATTTCAAAACCTCTTATTTATTTACTTATAAAATTTTCTTTAATAAAAAAACTTATTAGAGCTAATCCTTCATTTTAGTTTTTGAAAAGTACCCAGCTTTTGAAAATTTCAGCTTTCAGAATATTTTCTCATCGTATCCGCAAAAAAAAAAAAAATTTTCGATGAACAGAATGTAATGAAAGTAATGAATTTGTGCCAAATACATACATATGTGATTTTAAAAACGTTCACTTACCTGGATGCCTGGTATTACCGTAATATTGTGTAGAGAATGTTCGGGATAACGGTAAAGTTGTGAAAATTAAAGAAAATAGTAACGGAAATATTTTATTAACTTTTCGCATGACGCTGAAATGAGAGAGCGAGTAAATTTTAATTAATACAATTTCTAAATGGACTTTGTGCTTGAAAATCTCTTTTTTGAAGGCTAACAGAAATATTGATGCGTTTTAAACAGCTTCATCTCATAATAACTGAGCTTGAAAGGGGCTTTTATGAACGAAAGCTTTTAAAAGAGCTTTTATGGAGATTTAAAAAAAAATTATAAATGTTTTTCAAAGCTTTTTAAGCCTACAATAGATTCAATATGGGCGTATACAGAGTAAAAGCTCTTTGAAGTCACCGTTGCTTTCTACATTTCACATATCAGTGATCATCATAAAGGGCTACAAATTTCCGAATAAATTCTAATGAAAGCTTGAGAAAAGCTTTGTTCACGAGCTACATATTGGCTGCGAATGTTTTACAGGGACAAGGATAGCGTTAATGATCTCTCTGACCAATACAGTTCAGTTTAAACCTTTTGCCAGGAGAAAACGACGTTCAAAACTGCGCTTTTTAACTTTATTGTGTTTGTGCGCCTTTTCGTTAAAAGAGTTACACGAGCTTAATTTTAAATATATGTATTTTGTATGAATTTTTGTTGCACACTTTTGTTTTTATGTACAGTTTTCTTAACACAAACACACACTTACAAAATAATCTAAACACTCATCCACCTACACACAGAAAAAAGTCAGCTAAATAAATTTCTCTCAACACATCATTTGGTAACTATAACCAAATAATGTAATTATAACTAAATCATGTGTTGAAGAAAACATATTTAGTTGACGTAAATAAACTCTTTTCTCAGTGTACCAACTGATTTTTTATTGCTGTTGAAATTCACACCCCGTTATTCTGGTCAAATATCTAACGCGTCGCCGCTGCGCTTGCGAAGAAGCTCTGAGTGTTATTAAATTCAGTTGTGCAAATATTGATGACCGAACAAATGTAAATATTGTTTATTTAAATTTTAATATTTACAAGCTTTTTAATAACCAAACACCTCCACACACACATACAATTAAATTTTATGACTAATTGTGATTATAAATTGGCGCGTAGCTGGTGTGAAGATTATGAAAATGAATTGACAAGCATTCTAGACGAGGCTGGCGAGTGAGTCGGGAAGTGGCGGCAGCTAAGCTCAAGTTCAAGTTTATAAATGAAAAAAATATTCACTGTTATTTAGTGTTAAATATTTTAGTAGAAATGAAATCATAGCGGAGAAATAGTAGGCAAATGTGTAAAGAAGAGAACAAAATGGAATTCAATTAACATATTTTGAATTAAAAAAGTCATTGGTGACTTTGGAGCTGAAAGAAGTGACATATTTTTAATTTATGAGGCTAATAAAAATATTTTTTTTAAATCTCTTAAGGTTTCTTGTTCCTTGCCTTTACATATAACTCACTGAGGCATTGCTGAAAGCGTTGATATGCAGAAAACCAAAGGTTATCACACAGTTTTGCATATGTATGTATGTAGGTCAACCCTGTAACAATTTGGCTTCATAAAGTAGAATAGATTACGTTATCAACAAAAAATACGTTGGAAAAGGAAACGAAAAACAAAAAAGAATTCATGAGATATCGCTAGCCCCCAAGCGCAACTCTTCTAAATTTAATAAGGGTTTTATTTGAAATTGATTTCTAAAACTGCTTCAAAAATATTTAGCAGAAAATTTGTGAGAATAAGTCACTGTGTCTCTTTTAGGGGGTATGTAATTCCATGCAGTTCCGAAAACTACTATAAGACTCTCTTAAACATGTCCATCAACCGGCATCACCTCGCACGACTTATGTAGATCATCAAACCTATCCTATCAGCATGACTCTTACAAAGAATGAGCTCTAAGCGGAATTCAGCTCATTATAGCGACATCATCCAATATGTATAACATCATTGGACACCACAGCAACCAGTTATTTTAAATTATGTCACGTCATTCGATTTATATCACATGATCTCCTCTCACTTAGCATACAAAAAGTTTTACCAGAAAAAAGAGCAGAAAATAACTTTTATCACGTTTCGATTGACATCACATCGGAGGCAATAAACTGGCACCACATCACATCACTTGATTTGGAATAAATGCTCACTTTTTAATCGCACATTCAACTTGGTTTCTATATAGCTATACTTCCGTGAATTACATGACCTTTATTTCACTTTGCATCAGTTGATATCACGTCGCGGCAAGTGGGATCACATCATATCGCTTGACTAAGATCATATGATCGTTTTTTAGACGCCCTTTTGTCTTTTAAATACCTACTTTTAAGTGAATCAGACGGCTATTTTCTGATATCACATCACATCGCGATAATCAAAAAAGAAATCACATCATATGCCTTGACTTGATCGTTTTCTAGACTTGAAATCAGCATGTACATATTTTATATGCGAGATATGTGAGATCACACCAGAGCGCTTGATTTAGAACACATGATCGCTTTTTGATGTTGAGCCGGGCATTATTTAGAGAGCTACTTTAGTGTATCAGTGGCTTTTTGTTTCATATCACATCAGTTGATATCACGTCGCGGCAAGCGAGATCACATCATATCGCTTGGATTAGATGACAGGTTCGCTTTTCAAACGCTTAAATCTGCGGGTCTTAAAATCACATTACATCGTTTGACTTAAGTCACTTGATCGCTTTAGCAAAAATCATATCATTAGAGTTCGATCACATGATCCCATAACTGATGACGTTAGTATCTATTTTTAGGCTGCTGTCACTAGACTTACAGCAGCGATTTAGATCAAAACTCATGATACTTGGCGTACCAGCGTTTACAGCTCAGAGTTAGGTTTGGTCTGCGGATTTAATCAGGTCAGATTTTTAAGTCCCAACAGTTAGACTTCTTGGTCACCTTAAAGTTGTCAGTCTTTTTAGATCGCAGTCCCATTAAGTCTGAAACTACTATACGAATGACATCATAGGGATCGCCACAACTGCTTCCAGCATTTCTTTTCGCAGTGTACTCTGCACTAAACTATTTTGTAGTGTGTGACGTTGAGTACCGTTAATTGTGTACTTGAAATGAAACTGAAATTAACCGCTAAAAGCAGATTAACAACAAACGTAATGTTAAGCAGTGAACGAAATGTTTATAGTGTGTTGACCTAACACTTGGTGCAGCAAATAAATAAATAAAGATTAATTAGTAAAAATAGAAAAAAATACAACAACAAAACAATAACAAAAATGTTCATAGCGCGATAATCATAATCACAGGTGTCGCTGATGTGTTGAATTAATGCAAATAATTTATTGTTCTTGCACATTGCTTCAAACAATGCAATAAATATTGACATAGCATAGTAAACACGTCTGTACGGATGTGTGGAATTAATGCGAAATCGACGTCAGCTTGCTGTTGTTAATCAACTTAATTAGCATTGAAGTCGTGCACGCTGAGCGGCGAATGAAATGTTGGCGACTTTTCGCTGAAGTTATTTAACAGTACATACATATGTATATACATATGTATGTTGCTTTTGACTGTCTTTGGGTGTTTTGTACCTTTGTATTCTTTTTCAGCTTTTTGTCTGCTTTTCAAGATTCTGTACCAATATGAACAGTTTTATTTGCGAAGCGAAACGTACATAAGCATGGATTTTCACCGAATCAAAGTAAAGATTTTTAGGAATTTTTTACTTGTACGTCACGCAATAGTTTTCAGCTGTAAAGTTACGCTGCATTGAGGCTGACAATTTATCACTGTGGCTTATGTGGCTTCGACCTTTGACCTTCATTTTATGTAAAAACAGGTTGGCTTAGGGTAGCTCATTGTGAGTTGTAAAGATACAAAATATTTATGTATACATAGGTACATACATATAATTTTGTATAAACAAAAAAAGATAAGTAACCACTGAGATAATGACGAACAAAAGGGGATGGATAAATTTACATCAGCTAAAAAAAAAATAGGCGATAAGTCCCAGCTACTTCAAACTTGCACTATATTATACGAAAACTTAATGGGCTACAAAACTGTATAGGTACTCAAAATATTTCTAAGAAATCGATTAAAAAGCTAGAAATTTTTATGAAAGTTTGTTGAGTTTTTTTTTTAATATTGCACAAAATTTGAGACTTGGATCATACGATTTTCGTTAAATAATGAACCATTTCTATTAAAAAAAAATTAAATAAAATTTTAAAGTAATAAAACAAATAGTCAAAACTTCCCAATTTGTGAATGTCGTATAGTTATGACAAGCACTATGTTCATATAAATATATATGCGGAAGTCAATTTTTTTTTTCTGCGTTGTGAAGTGATAAAAATAAATTTTTCGGGAATTGATTCTCAGGCTCATTTGAAAGAGCGATCCTTCCACTATAATATGGGTTCAGAGCTGTTAAATTTCCGTTACGATTAGTAATCATTAATTTTTTTGCATTTTTTAATTTAAATGATTATTTTAATTTTCTTACATAACCCAGCCATTAATAATTAATTATTAATTATAATTATCAAAAATAATCATGATTAAGTGCCATTAAAAAAATAATCAAATAATTAAAAATAATCAGATACATACTCAAAATTAATCAAATTGTTTTTTTTAATTATTTGATTATTTTTAATTGTTTGACTATTTTTAACTACTTGATTGTTTTTAGTTATTTGATTGTTTTTAATTATTAGATTGTCTTCAATTATTTGATTATTTCTAATTAAATGTTTATTTTTAATTATTCTAACAAATAGATGATGTTGTATTTTTTACCTGAAAACAGTATGAGGTGAACTTTTTAAAATGTTTTAAACAGATATTTTTGATGTTCTTGCATCAAGGAATCCTTTTCAATGGTAGCAGGAACCGAAAAAGGCATTTTATATATTCAGCCTCATTGCGTAAGTCGTAAATTAGGCTAAATTGTACGACTCGACAACATTGGCATTGTCTACTGTCGTGCTGAAATAAGTAAGCGACGAAAATCGTCGAAAACTATACAGTGCTGCCAAGTTTTTCCGTTTTAATACACTAGTCGAGTGGAAATTTTAGGCAATGACGTGAGATTTTCTATACGATTCGACTATCGAAAAACGACTTGCATTCGACACGACTCTCGCAATGAGGGTGATTATTCTAAATTCATTGCATGCTGTTTTTAGGTCAAAAGCTTTACTCATATATATATGTAAGGGCAAAGCTGAAGGGGAATATGTAGATGAAGAAAACGATAAACATACAAGTAATTTTTAGAAAAAAAACCGACTTCAACTCTCATAAAAAAATATATATATATATACATATACATATATATCTCATGATCCAATGAAAAAATAAAATTAAAAAAATATTCCGACGAACTGATAACCTCCTCCTTTTTTGGAAGTGGGTTAATTAAAGAGGAAAGGATATAGAGAGAGACTCAATCTGGGAACTATTTTGGGATTTTAGAGATTTTCGGGATTCTCGGGACTTATCGATAAAATAATCGATATTTTTATCGGTTTTGTTATCGATATTTTTATCGATTTGGTTATCGATATTTTTATCGACTTGTTGTCGATTTTGTAATCGATATTTTTAACTATTTTGTTAGCGATATTTTTTATCGATTTTGTTATCGATATATATCGATGTTATCGATATTTATAGACTTTAATTTTGATCGATTTTGTTATCGATATTTTTATCGATTTTGTTATGTGTGTTTTTATCGATTTTGTGATGTATATTTTTATCGATATTTTTATCAAGTTTCTAATTGATTTTGCTACTAATATTATAATAGACTTTGCTATCGAAATTTTTATCGAATTTTTTTCGATTTTGATATCGATATTTTTATTGGTTTTGTTATCGATATTTTATTGGATGCTACTATCGATAAGAAGATGAAGATAAAGGAAAAAAGAATAACATAAATGTAATTAGAACGAACAGGGTAGAGGTAGGGATTTAGATAGAAAAAAGACA